CGTGATATACAAAAATTTCAATGCAGAATTGTGAACTTCATATATATTTGATATAAATCAAATCAACAAAGATAGTACAACTATATTTTTACTATGTAGGAAAAAAAATTAAATTAAATCGACATCGAGAAAATGAGATGAAGATGATAACCTTAAATGGTTAGAAGACCTAATCATATGATCAAAATAGGTTACATAAAGAAGATCTCATGTAGATGAGATGAGCACTTGAGTGAGATTTATCATTAACATGAAAATTGGCAACTAATTATATGTAGCAATTTTAGAAGTTTTGTATATTTCTCCCTTGTATATTTTAGAGCTGAGAGTCTGAGACCACAATTTAATATTTCTTAAGGCCAAAAAACTTACTGACCAAAAGCTTTCTATAAAATATCTAATTCCTCATTCGTTGTTCCAGTCTGCGATCTATTTGTTGTTTTTCGAGTTGATCAACTTTATACATGTATCTTTGGATAAATTAATTCGCTTCCTTTGGCTTTCTCCAATTCTTAATTTTCTTTTGTTGCCTTTCAATTGCATTGCATACTCTTTGAATTGTAAGTCCTTGGCATTGTTCATGCTTTTGTAATTCTTTGGTTGTTGCATTCTTTTTCTTTAAGTCATAGTTTGCGCGACTGATACTTTTTGTGATAATATGTTGAGAGAAGCATAGAACTTTTGCGACACCGAAGCCTATAAACATTCGGTGAAGTGGTGTGACTCGGACGCTTACATGTAACTTTATTGTAGTTTAGTATACGTTAACACTTGGCATTAAAAATAAAAACTTGCTAGATATCGGCGGAGATACTCTACATTCCCCCGCCACCTCCACCTCCTCCTCGTCCGCTACCACCTCCTCTGCCGCCTCCACCTCCTTTGTGTCCTCCTTGGCTACCTCCACCACCACCACCTTTGTGTCCTCCTTGGCCACCCCCACCGCCACCTTTGTGTCCTCCTTGTCCACCCCCACCGCCGCCTTTGTATCCTCCTTGTCCACCGCCTCCGCCCTTCTGTCCTCCTTGGCCGCCTCCTCCCTTATGTCCTCCTTGACCACCTCCACCCTTTTGTCCTCCTTGGCCGCCTTGACCACCTCCGCCCTTCTGTCCTCCTTGGCCGCCTTGGCCACCTCCGCCCTTCTGTCCTCCTTGGCCGCCTTGGCCACCTCCGCCCTTCTGTCCTCCTTGGCCTCCTTGGCCACCTCCGCCCTTCTGTCCTCCTTGGCCGCCTTGACCACCTCCGCCCTTCTGTCCTCCTTGGCCGCCTTGACCACCTCCTCCCTTCTGTCCTCCTTGGCCGCCTTGACCACCTCCGCCCTTCTGTCCTCCTTGGCCGCCTTGACCACCGCCCTTCATTCCTCCTTGGCCAGCACCACCACCTTTATGTCCTCCGTGGCCACTTCCACTGCCATGGCCACCTCTACCTCCTTGGCTATATTTGGATTCTTCTTCTTCTTCACCAAGGATTTCATCTGCTTCTACGAGAGGAATCTCTGCCGACTTTGAGTCCTCCACTTGGTTTTCAACAGCTTTAAATATGTTTTAAAAAACCCGTTAAACATACAATAGCATACAATAGAAGAAACACAAGAAATAAGTTAGGGATATGACTCTAACCTTGTTTTGTGTCATCGATGGAAGCAGAAACGGTAACGGCTAAAACAGCCGTCAACAAAAGAAACCACACTATAAGAGATCGTGAATTCATCTTTACTCTCTTCGCAACATGCAAAACTAATTGACGACCTACACACTTGCTTTTTTCCTATATATAGTTGTTGTACCTTACACTTAATGAGCAAGCAACTAAAAAATTAAGTATTAAATAAAAATTAATAAAGGATCTTGATGGCACATCATGACCAAAAACATCTTAGATGGCAGCTAGAAATATATCTGCAAACTTCGTTCAAGTGTCTCGAGACAACACGTAGGATTGAGAGTCGCCACGTACCAAGGTTTTGCGGGACTACTTTTGGTCATTACATTACATTATTATATGGCAAAATGCTAACATTTAAACTATGTACTTTCCATTTGCATGTGTTCTTGTTGACATGTATATTGTGATGTTCGTTATGAGTTGTGCATGTGGACACTGGAAATTAGCTTTACCTTGTGAAGGTGGCATCAGACGCTTACCTTGGCCCATGCATATGGACGTAAAACTACACCTGGTACGAGAACTTAACAATTTGTTTTTTTTTAATGAATAGCATAATTAAACGAAAATAGGATTGAAATGTATATTTACAAACAAAAAATTATGTATTTTTTCCTTGAGCCAAAGTGCAATAGTTTTACTAGTTGTAATATCTTTTAAAAAAAAGAATTGGTACGTTTAGAACAACAAGAGAATATAACTTTTTTGGCCAGTTCGGTTAAGGCCTCATTGACACAAATGCATAAGATCGATCTTGCGCACTTCAACCCATGGTTATGGGCCTTATGGTTATGGAGTCTATTTAATTTGATCAATTATTTTATAGTAAATTAATTTATTTTTCTTTTGTTTCTTATATATGAAATATTGAGATTTGTTTTATTTGACTGGAGTATAAGACCATCCTCGATGGCAGTATCTTATTGTAAGATACCGCCATCGAGGATGGTCTAACAAACGTTATTTTACTATATTTGTTATGAGGTTGAAGGTCTCATATTTTTTTTTATCTGAGTTTTTACTTTAATTTGCGCCTTACTTAGAACTAATATTTACATAAAAAGTATTTTGTAAGATACTTTCTTAAGGCAATATTATTGGGGGTATCTTAGTCCTTTAAGAAACCTCCGACATTATTGCATAAGACCAATATTATTGGGAGTATCTCAGCCCCTTAAAATACCCCAACATTCTCCTAAGATACTTCCAATGGGCTAAGATACTCTTAATAATGTTGGTCTTATGCAACTATTAGTTCTAAGATACCATGGATAAAGATGCTCTTACTTCTCACCACATATATATGTAGTAGGCAAAAATTGATGAAACTAAATACCTTCAACTAAAACTGAGGAAAAAAATAATTTAAGGCAAGATCCTGGATATATATAATTACATTTGATGGCTCTATGCCTCTATATATATAATTTATCTATGCCTCTCTATATATATAATTTCCTAAGAAGTAGGTATTTTAATTTCTCCTTTGCCTTTGCACGAGGAAGTTAATCTCCATATTCAACCATTACATTAGCGAAATCCGACTAATTAAGTTTGAAGTTAATGACTATATATGTTGTAATCTGAAGCATGACATTACGTCATTACCTAAATAACGAACACTAGAGTGACTAATATAAATTTTGACTAGTTAAATTTTTCATTAGGATCATTGATGATCGACATGTAGGAAGTACATGAGAATGCACGACAAAGGAGATTATCAACCTTTGTTACAAGTTATTGTCCTTAGTTAAACCATGTAAACATCGGACTCTCTTTGACACTATAGTACGCCGTGTAGACCTTCTCATGCCGGCGAGATTCAAGATTTTGGAATTCTTTTTAACATTACCATATCTTTTGGAATTTTTGTCTCGTGGATGACCATCGAATGATTATGAACTCGTTTGCAACATGATAATGGTATCCAACTTTTGTTTTTACACTCCTAGGCATATAAAAGTTTTTTTTTAACAAAATCTTAGGCTAAAAGCCAATTGATAATGATTGTCTTACAAATCCAATATCGATCTATCAATAATTATCTTTTTGTGGTATTTGGGAATATCCTTCTTTGTTATGTACTAAACTTTGGGATCTTTAAATTTATCATATCTTGGTACTTTGGTTTAACTCAAATTAGGTATTTGCCAAAAATAAATAAAAACAAATGATATAAATTATTCGCTAAAAAATTATACTATCTTCGTTTCAAATTACTTGTCGTTTAAAGTTTTTTCACACAAAGTAAAAAACAAAATTGTATTTTACTTTTCTTTAATATACTTTTAATTTCTTTATTGATCAAAACATTAAAACAGTTGGGATCGAATAGACAATTTATAGTAAAACTATAGCTACAGCTGTTATCGTAACTTAAAAATGTCTCTCGTGACTCAGTACAATATTGACTTTTGTTTTCATGTAGTGAAACTATGGTCTTTGTTTTTATATTTTTTTCATGTGCATTGAATGTTTGGAAAAATATTGTCTGAGACCTACCAATAGTGATGGGCTATTGCAATTATACGATGATCGAAACGACAAGGTTAGCAGAAGGGAACAGGAACATGTGTAGATAAAAGGTTTTGGTATGGATCTCTCGTGAAATCAATTCAAATACAAGTACATGGCATGTACTAGCTAGACAGTTTTAATGAATTTGGAGATCTCATCAGGTTACCATGCAGTTTTGTATTGTGACATAATAAGAGTAACTATATTGAAATCTCATGTTGTTAAAAAGTTTTAAACGTTCGTGTACATATT